CCCATCATTCAAGGGTGGTTTTCACTATAAGTAATTTCTATTTTTTTGGACAGACACTATAATTTACATTTTTTTACTATGTTCAATCTGAATTTACTATATTGATTCTGACACTTCTACATCCAACTCACAGATGTAACCTTGCTTAGAGAAAAAAGATTATTAATTTAACCCTTTTAGAAGGGAAGATATGGTCATTTGTTCTGGGAATGTCATTTTCGAGCCTGAGACCTGAAAAACAGGCTCAGGGTTTAACAGGTTAAATGACTAAACTCATTGAATGTGTTTAAAAAAATGTTTTATCAGAAATGTTAAAAAGTGCCTTTTAAAAAGTATTTTGTCTTTTTAATCATAGTATTTTTCTTAATTTTATTTATGTATAAAGTTGTATTTGATTATTTATTTATTTCACAAGTTGTAGTCTTTCATGAGCATTAAAGATAATTTATTCAAATCTTTTCATTTATTTGAGATATATATAGAAGATGTTGGGTTTCCATATCTACTGAGAACCAGTGTGTTTAATACATCCACACAGTCATTTTGATGTACGTAAATGTTTATTTATTTATGTATTTATTCCAACAAACTTGCCATCAATAGCACATAAGTGGAGCGCTAACATGCTATCATTATCCATCTAAACACACGTACTCACACCGGTTCCTGCTGCCCACCATTACATTTTCACCAATTACTTGTTTTGGATTTGAATGAACTTTACATTTTTGGCTCCTCATATTTGGAATTTTGTGGCGAAATGTCTGACTTTAAATGTCTTGTTTACAGCATATGAATTGTATCTTTTTTGCCCCATTATATAATCATGTTATTGCCTTTTTGTGCTTTGGTTTAAGTTAATGGATTAAATTAGTTTTGAGAAGCCAATACTGCCTACTGGCCTCCACCCCCTTTTTTCTCATTTACATATAAGGGCACAAATGCAGAGCTGAGCTCCAGGTAGAGCGGTTTCACAGTTCATTGACCACACTTTGTCAGAAATAAGTCTTCTTTATTAAATCTTTTAGTTCTTTCTTTGGTAATTATAGTCAGCTGTTGGGGCTGTTGTACATGACATATTTTGCTTTACAATTAAAAAATTGATTTTCAAATACGTCTGATCCTCTTCTCTTTTGTTTGGACTGCCATCAAAGTGAGCTGCATACATCATAGCTGGAGACTCAAGGCCAGTTTGCCTCTCCTCTCCTGTCAGAGGGAGGATTACCTGTTTTCCTTGCGTTTCTTTCACAGCCACCTCATCTTCCTTCTCAGGTTTGACATCTGTGGCCAGCTCCTCAAAGAACTGGAGAAAAACATGAGCACAACAAATCCAGTGAGGCGGAGCATTTAACAACTGAGTAATACTTTTAAAAAACGATACAAAGAATTACTCACACTTTTCTTCCCCTTTTTATCTTTCTTGCCCTTTTTCACAGTTTTTTCAGCTGTAAGAAAAAATAATCTTTACATTTCACAAAATCAGTGGGAAGCTATGAGGTTCATACGTATCCCAGCATTCACATCCGTAGATAAACTTGTGGCCCTTTTATAAAATGTATACTCAATACAGACACAATGTAACTGGACGAGTTAAATTAACCTTCAATAAAACCATTACAATTTTTAACAGTCAACAAGACGGAGAAATACGTCTGCCAACATCATCTGTATCCAGAGCTAAGAGTTCTACACTCAAACACCATGAACCTGTGACTCAGCACTTTTATCCTCTGAGTCATTGTTTCCTTTCTTTTGCATTGTATCTGTTTATACAGAGGTGAAAGAAGTACTCAGAATTGTTATTTAAGTGACAGTATAAAAATACTAGTTACAAGTAAAAAGTACTAAAGTATTAGCATCAAAACATACTTAAAGCACCAAAAGTAAAATTACTTATTGTGCGTAAGGTCCCACTTTAAAATAATATTCAAGAATTGATTCAATTATTTTTGTTCATGCGTTCATGTGTTCATCACTGTCGATAAAGTTAAAATTAAAAATGTAAATATATTTAATTTGAACTATGTTTTACTTTAACCCTGCTACAACTCAGAGGTAAATGGTGTACTTTTACTCCACTACATGTATTTAATACCTTTAGTTACTTTACAGATGTGGATGAATGATGTGAAATATAATCACGTGTTAAATCAGACTTTAGTTCCACCTGGAGTAAATTCACAAGCTACCCTGCAGTATACAAAGTCATTCAAACTAGCTGCACCTTTACCAGCTTTGAGAACACTTTCATGATCAATCATTATAAAACATATCATATATATTATTCTGAAATGGACCAATCTGCAAAATGACTAATTTAAGTATATTTTGATGCTAATACTGTTCTACTTTTACTTGAGTAACATTTGCAATGCAGGACTCCAGCTCTGGTCTAAATGCATGTGTTTTACCTTCAAACTGAGACTACACTGCCACACTGTCACATGTCAGAGCAGACAAAAGCATTGCATCACTTTTTTAAATGGGCAACGTTAGCTGAACTGTGCTTTGTTCAAGTCACTGTTAAACATGACGCCGTTCACTTATGATTTAGGTTTTTCTATCACTGAAAATAAGGTAAAATACTATATTTGTTATTGATGGCAAACGCTAAACTATTCATACAGTCAACATTTCTTTAAACCAGATGTTTATCAACTGTTGTTTCCCCTCTTGACATTTGAGTGATATTAATATAGAGGCTTGTCACTGTGTATCATGACGTTAGGTAGCTATTTACCGTTACTTCTTCAGGTGTATCATCTGGATTTTAATCAAAGACATGCCTGTAGAGGAAATGTCTTACATCCGAATTGAACAAAACATTCTGAAGATTCATGAAAGAGTTCAAGTTGTGACACATCACATATATATTTTTGACAATTATCATGCAAGAGCAACTATAGAAGGTATTTAATGGAGTTTGGCATAAGTGACAGTTTATGCGGACCACTGCACGATTAACACTAGCTGTAGCTACTTAGCCTGCTAGCTAACTCCTAACTAAACGTTAGCTTGCTCTCACCAGCTGCCGGGGCCACTTCATCGTCCACCCACTCTGCGCCTTCTTTCGTTTTCTTAGGCATTTTTATAACTATGAATCTTTAAAATAACTCAGCTAAAACGATGTCCTTTTTCTATTCAGTAAGTGTTGTCAACTTGTCATCCACAGAGGTAATGCGGCCCAGCGACGTGAGGCACATGCCGGGTGATGCCGGGTCATCAACACAGTTTCATTCTTCTGATTCCTGGTTTACCGCGGTTGGCATGCAGTTAATTGGTGCATTAGCGCCACCTGCTGCACCGGAGTGTTGATCACATTTACATTTTAAATCCCGTAAAGAGGACATATTCTGCTCATTTTCAGGTTCATATTTGTATTTAGTGTCTCTACTGTGACATGTCTCCATACTTGAATGTTCAAAAGCTCTTTATTTTTCTCATACTGCCTGTGCTGCAGCACCTCTTTTCACCCTCTGTCTGAAACCAGAGCCCAGTCTGCTCTGATTGGTTAGCTAGCCGGCTCTGTTGTGATTGGTCAACCACTTAGAAATGAAATACAAAAATAAATCCCTATCCATGTCTGTCCCCAGAAGTACTCAGATATTTTACTGAAGGAAACATACAAATACTACAGTGTAAAAATACTTTGTTACAAGTAAAAGTCCTGCATTGAAAGTCTTTCGTAAGTAAAAGTAGGCCTACAAAAGTATTGGCATCAAAAGTAAAAATATTTTTCTATTGTGCGTAGTGTCCCATTTTAGAATCATATTAGATTACAGGATTATTATTATTGATGCATCAATGTTGTGATCACAGCTGGTAAAGTTGGAGCTAATTCAATGCACTTGAACAATAAACTGGACTGGAGGGACAGCACTGAGGCTCTCTTCAGAGCTGATCTTCCTGAGGAGGCTCAGGTCCTTCAGCGTGTGCACCAGGCTGCTGCAGATGTTCTACCAGTCTGTGGTGGCCTGTGGGCTCTACTTTGTTGTGGTATGCTGTGGGGGAAACGCCAACAAAATTAATATGAATAATATTTGCATTGTATGTAAACAAGACTTTCGCCGCACTGCTACCTGCACATTTACATGTATATATATATATATATATATATCTTTTTTTGTTGTTGTGTATATATATTTAACCTTTATACATATCTGTATATATGTACATTCACATGTTAAAATTCAGAGTTTAACTTTAACTCATGTCATTTTTGTTATTATGATTCATACTATTACTGTTTATTCTTATTTTATCTTACTTTTTTCATTATCCCAAGTGTACTATCTGTGTTTCTGTTTTATTCTGTTGCTGCATTGACATTTTAATTTCCCTACGAAATAAATAAAGGTCCATCTTATCCTAACATCACACCAAAAAGGAATTCATACAGAATAATCAAATGAGACCAAATGGATGTGCTGGGTTTGCTTTTCTTCTGCCAGATTACAAACATTAAGAAAACACATCAGATCACTTATCAGTAAACTATATATTTTAATTGTTTGCTGTTGTACTGTAAATGAACTGCAGTTGAGTGAGCAAAATCAGCTATAAAGGTAGCATTATGTTCAGATGTAATATTGGAGGATGAAAGGGTTGAACCTGTTATCTGTCACTGCCAGATATATGAAACACACAGAGGAAAACATAAGGAGTGAAATTAAGAGTTATTATGCAGTGTTGTAAAAAGAACATGTCATGTGTTAATATACTGTATGTAACTGTGAGTGTTAATATAAATGAAGTAAAAAGTACAATATTTGCTTCTGAAATGTATAAACAAGTATAAACTGGGTTGAAATGGAAATACACAAGTAAAATGGTACAATCCTTGAGTAGATGTACCTAGTTACTTTCCAGCACTAATTATTGGTGTCCTAGTTCTCTCAAAGTGATGAGGGAAAGTGAGATTGGTCTGGTCCTCACTTCAGCTCAGTAGGTGGCGGTAATGCGCCTAAACGATAGGCTGCCAGCCGCCAATAAACCAAGAGAAGAAGAAGAACCAGGATTCGGGATCAGGAAAGGAAAAGCAGTTGTTGACGGCTGGACGAGGAATATAAGCAAACACCAAAATAAGCAAGTACTAACGTTAATTTAATATCAAAAACGATTTGCTCTTGTTGACAATATATAGCTTTATCTAAGTCTGTATTTGTCAACAACACGCTTAGCCTTTTGATGATAGCCAGTTAATACTAAACAACTGAAAGCTGTCAAGTTAGCTAGCAAGCTAACAGCTGAGCGTAATGTTGTACCGTTATTTACATCTCCGTGTCATGCGGCAATTGTAAACAGTAGATAAAGAGGTTCAATGAAACTGCCTTAGTATGTCGATCACAAATGTGTACACAAACCATGGTAACTAAACACATCAACGCAACGTTCTGTATTCTTTTATTTCGATCGTCTTGTATGATTGGACATCATCAATTAGCTTGCTAACTTGTTAGCAAGCTAACAGACACAGTTGTTATTTAGACCAAGTTACACAAGCGTAATCACTTCAGGCAATAAAACAATGAAGTCTGAATCAGACATCTTTTCCTTGAACTGTAAACGGGCGATATAACACGTATCAATAGTGAGTAAACTGGTGTACCATAAAGTAAAACATTTATTTGTAATGTTTTTTTCTTTAAACATAACGGAAACTTACTTAACCCCCCTTTTTCCGTAGGATTAAATCAGCTGTGTTGATGCTGTTTTCTAAAATTGGCCAATCTTGGGCCCAAACAAATCGGATGACCTATTTAAATCTTATAGTAAACATGGCAGTGAAGAAGCTTGTTTGAATGACATCTAACTTGTGAAACCCTTCCTGTTTGTGTTCAGACAGAGCTCTACACCTGAGGCAGACATGTCTTACGACAAAGCAGAGAGCTACCGCCCCGTCCCCCGGGACTTCAACACCCTCATCCAGACATGCAGCTCCAACATCCAGAAGATCACACAGAACAGTAAGTGCTCCATCGCAGCGTCAGTGGCTCTTCCTGCTACAACGAGAGCAAAAGCTGTGGCCAACAGGAAAGATACAAGATTTGATCTAAGTATGGAAATCTGAATTCCTTTGGAAAGTCACTGAGCACCAAGGGCTTTTCAAAATGCATTAAGTCTGCAAGAGGCTTAAAGTTTAAATCCACTCTGGATTCAGATTGGAATAGACTCTTAAGCAGGCCCGGACTGGCCATCGGGAGGACCGGGAGGTTTCCCGATGGCCTGGCCTGTTAAGTGGCCTGCTGGCCTGGCGATTATCTTTTTTTTGTATGTATTGTGAACGCAACGCTGCGCAAATGTGGGTCTGCCTCACACAGGGTGACTGTCTGTCTCCATGATGTGGCCTGCCGACAGGGCCGTCCCTCCCTACAGGCTGATCATGCAGACTGCGTCGGGCCACGGTTGCGAGGCTCCACTAGCGCGAGGGTTTAGATAGTTAACTTAATCTAAGTTATCTCAGTGGGTCTCAAACTGTTTGGTCACCATTTATGTAAACACATATTTCCATTTGAGGGGGGAGTGATTAGTAAAAAATGCATGAATAAAAAGAAAAAAAATTAAATAGGTGAAAAAAGTTAAGATAAACTTGTAAAACTTGTTGAGAGCTAAAACGAGTCTTTGCTTCTGCCTCAAAGAGGAGCAGGGGGGAGAGGAGGGAGACAGGAGAGGCTGGTTCAGGAGCTCAGACACACTCACAACTATAAATGAACCAAAAATAAATAAACAACTTTCAATTTTTTTTTATAGATCTGTTTCATAAGGGTGTTTCCATAGATCTAGTCTCTTTATTCTCCCCTCAAAATGCACCAGATGATGCCTTTAACTCCAACATTTAAAAAAAAATCTTACCGGGGGGGCAGGCCCCCGGAACCCCCTAGAGGATTTGAGGTCCACCCCCATTTCAAACATGTTCCCATGGATAGGTTCCCAAATACTTTTGCACATTTTTAAAAATAGTAACCCCTGTCCATATGTTTATTATTGGGTAGATTGAAACTATAGGGCTGTCACTATGGGCAGCAACGCTGTAAATATTCACAAATAAATCCAGCAAAATGGCACACAAAAAACTGGTAGTGGCCGGGCTGGGTATATAATTCCCGGCCTGACTTACTGGCCCTGCTCTTAAGGAAGTCTACCCAGAATTCTTAGGATTCTGAATATGAACCAAACTGTGAAGGCTGATATCACAGTATATGGAATACATCTGAACCTCCAGGAGGACACAATTCCAACCACATGCTGTTGTTGCTCATACTTCCACTGTAAGGTTTTGCTACTTTTCTCTGTTTTCTATCAGAATCAGAAACGGGTTTATTGCCAGGTAGGTTCACACATACGAGGAATTTGACTTGATGTCCTGGTGCATACATAAAATATAAAACAAAGAATCTCCATATAAAACAAAAAATCTAATATAAAACAAAAAATCTTTAAGGACACTGTAATAAAATATAATTAAATGGCAATAAAATAGAGCAGCGAAATAGATTGCAATTATAGAATATAAATGATTCTACATTACATCTAAATAAGTTGGGCTTCAGACTGTTGGACTTACAACACATTTAATGATGTCATCATGTTCTCTGAGAAACAACACAAATTGTATGACTTTTTCTAGTCTAAAAATTGAACCTTTAATTAGGAAAATTCTTAATGAAAATGTTCACTTTCGAATTGGCTTCATTTGGAGTAGTTTGTTTTAATGTGCAGAGTTAGACAGGCAAAGGTGATCTAACTGCTGAAGTCAAGTCAGCATCAATTTGATAAAACTCATGCTGATTGATGAGTGGAAACAATCCCGGTCCCATATCTTGCTGGCTCTAAATAAATATATTGGAAAACATTTTGAAAGCAAATGATGCATCTTCAAAACATGGTTTTGGTACCAAATTCCTGCTTTGTCGTATTCACCAAGGAAACACAGTTTCTGAAATTGATAAGGATGCTTACATGTTTTATTTACTTCAGCTCAACGTAAGAATGCATTTATCATAGAACAGGGAATATTGGTTTTGTCACTCATTGGCATCACTTTATGGAGTGATCTCTTTGTAACTCTTTCAATGTACATTTAGGCATGTGTGTACCTATTCTGTAAAATAATGATGACAAAAGTGAATCTGAACCATGTCACACACTTTCATCTGTTTGTGTATGTGTGAGTTAGATCCAGAGGATAAAACTCTCTCCATTATATGTTCTGCCCTCACCTAAAGTATATGTTATACAAGCTGCCATTCAGTGTGTTTAGTTTAGAATGAGAAGATGTTAAAGGTCCCATGTCATGCTTTTCCGGTTATTACCCGTCCCCTTGCACACACACACACACACACACTCAATCTTTTCTCAGCTGCAGCTCTGCCCATTTCTCCTCCCTGAGACGGCGGGACGCGGCGAGGCTGTGAGTCGGTGTGTGTATGAACACACAAACTCCCAGCCAGGCTGCGGGTGTGTGTGTGTGTGTTCGGGCTGGGTTTCGCTGTGACTCGCTGTTTCGCAGACGGCCACTGGGCTCACAGGGAGGGGGGGGGGGTCAGGAGCTCCAACAAGGCGTGTAGGACAGAGTGAATACACATACTATACAGAGATGCTGTATGAGAAACCAATGTGAGTTTGGAACATTGCACAATGTAAATCTATTCTAGTAGACCTCAACAATGGAACTATGATCAGTAGAAATGGCCATGACATGGGACCTTTAACATGTTGGAGAGGAAACATGTTCAGTGTGTCATTACAATATGTTGCATTAGTTTAAGCAAAACTAATGAAGTTTTTATTTGAATTATAGTATTCCACAAAACAGAAGCATGTTTGATGACAGAATGTTTTGCTGGTCTGCTCTCATATCTAATGACTTTCTATATAATGAGCGTTAATACAAAACAAGATGTTTTAAGCCATTGTCACATGCACTGTTCCACAGGACAGTGTTGCTCCTTCACTGTAGTGTGATGCAGGGTTTCCATACACAGATATGTTCCTCTGTTAAAAGAGTGCGTGTTGTTCTCCTGACAGCTGCTCAGATCAAGAGCATCGTGAGCCAGCTGGGGACGAGTCAGGACTCCAGTCAGCTGCAGGACCGACTGTACGTATCTCTCACACACACACACACACACACACACACACACACACACACACACACACACACACACACACACACACACACACACACAACACACACACACACACACACACACACACACACACACACACACACACACACACACACACACACACACACACCTCTGTTATCTTCTATGGACAGTTGAAACTGCCCTCAGAGCTGTCATACTCCAATATAATCTTAAACTGTCCAAAAGGTCACGTGCCTCTATGATTACGTTATCAGGGATGCACATTTAACAACAGTTTCACCCAGGAAACACATCAGATGTGACTTGAACTCCACTTTTTTTTAGATTAGATTGACTTTATTTATCCCAAATGGGAAATTGTTCTCTTACAGGAGCAGAAAGTTAATAATACAACATATATATATATATATATATATATATATATATATATATAATAGTTGTATAAAATACAAATAGAATAAAAGATAAACATCAACAGTAAATATATACTTATATATATACAGGTCTGGAATAGATAAAGAGACCACTGGAGCATTATCAGTTTCTATGGTTTTACTATTTATAGGTATGTGTTTGAGTAAAATGAAAAAATAAATATTTGATTCTATAAACTACTGACTCCATTTCTCTGTGTTGGAATTCCACAGACACTGGAGTGGCTGCCGTACATGTAGAGATTGAGATTCAAGAAAAGAGTGGTCTCTTTCCAGAGCTGTATATATCAATAGAGTATCTGAAGAATACAAAAGATACTGAGTAAATTAGAATACTCATGTTTTATATACAAATCTACTACAAAAACAGACAAGCATAGACTATATACATTACAAACTGTGAAAACCTAAGTTTCTTAGTTAACATTTACATTTAAATCTAATGAGGTAGCATGAGTTAAATATATGTAAAATGTTTCTGATCATTGAAAGGGATGAACCACAGGAACTAACGACATGTTTCCACAGGCAGCAGATACAGCATTACACCAACCAGCTGGCCAAAGAAACCAACAAGCACCTGAAAGAGTTGGGGTCCATCCCTCTGCCCATCTCTCCCTCAGAGCAGGTAGGTGTTGATTCAATACATCAGGATATTACGCATCACTACTGGGATGAGCAGCTTTGGAGACAGAGTGGAAGCTCCTGCCTCTGCACTGATGATGACACCTCTCCACAATTTATGTTCATTGAAGATGGTGATGAAGAGGATGGGGAAATTCAGTTCTTCACTCCGTTTGATGAAAACACACAGTACACACAGTACAAATACACACATGCATAGGAATGCATATGTTTAGAGAGGTGCCAGGTTGTCCGATTTCAGCAGTTGGGGGTTCGGTGTCTTGCTCAACGAGGTGAACTGGCACCTCTCCAGCTACTTGTCGGGACTTGAACCGGCAACCCTTCAGTTCCCAAGCCAAGTGGCTAGAAGTCCCCATATTCTGCATTCGACCTATCCTAGTCAATAGTGCAGCTATAACGCACAGTGCCTGGGAGTAGTGTAGAGGAGGATGCCTTGCTCAGTGGCATTTGGTTGTTTCACGATACAATACATCATCATAGGCGCCTTGCTCAATGGCACCTCGGTGGTACTTGATAGTTCCGCGATGACGCTCCACAAAAGAGAGCGGTTTTGTTGGAAGAAACAGTGTTCTATTTGCACATGAACTAATAAAACAGGTTTGTTTGAAGACATTGAGGGAAACCTTTACTATTGATTGAGGATGATAATGCAAGAGAAGATTATGATGAGATATGAAAGGTTGCCTATGAAAATAAATATAAAAAGTGTAGGCTTTTACCTGCATAAGGATGGAGAGAAAATCTAAGCTATAGTTAGCTTGCTAAATGTTTTATTAAATAGTATGGCTATATAGTTACTTTCACTAATTCCCTGTCCACCACTGGCCATGTGACAAGGCTTAGTGCGAGGGAGTATTTAGTGAAGCTTTCCAAGTCGAGATAGAAAGTCCTTTTGGCCAAAGATCAACAGCCATGTTGCTGGAAATACTCTCCTTTCTAACAGTCTGTTTACTGGCTTTACAGGTCCTTATGCCCTCTCTAGGTCTACTAGATTTAGCTAGGAAAACATCTCCTTTTAACAGCTGTATTTATACAGTCTTTAAAGGAGTATTTTCAGACACAACTACATTTTAGAACACTCCCTTGAACACATCATGATAATGATATATTTAACCAAACACTATTTTTTATCTTTTATCTTTGACCTAATAGAACCATTCTATAAACTTTAAGGAACTAACGTTAACTAGCTCTCCTCCTGCTGATTGTAAAAGGGATCTGTTCACTATGTAGTACTGTATCAGGGAATCATAGGGTGCGTCATGTGAGTTCAGTGTGACCCAACACATTTGTACCGTAGGAAAAAACTAGTTTCACATTTTCAACTTGGTACGAGAGCATCAGTCCTCGTGATATCCCTATTTATGATTATAGCTATTCCCAGATAGTATAAGGAAGGCAAGCCAAGTTATAAAATGTGCGTTTGCAGGCCACACCCGGGCCCCCCTCCTTGTCATTTTACCAAGCCAGATCATTCAGTTAAACATTTTTCAAGGACATTCTTTCTAACTGATCTCCTCATGTCTCCCTCTGTGGTGTCCAGAGGCAGCAGAAGATCCAGAGGGACCGGCTGATGAACGACTTCTCAGCGGCTCTCAACAACTTCCAGGCGGTGCAGCGCAGCGCGGCGGAGAAGGAGAAGGAGTCTGTGGCTCGGGCCAGAGCCGGGTCCCGCCTGTCGGTGAGTACAGTCAGGAGATAAAGACTCCAGGGAGGAAATGTCAGATCCATGTCAACTGTGTAAACTTGATAATCTTTGTTTCGCTAACATGACTTTGGCAATAGTGGATGTTCTCCTCCCCCGCAGGCTGAAGACACTTCTCGGGATGAGAGGCTCGTTTCCTTTGATAAGTAAGTGACTGTCATTCATTAGGTTTGTATTGAAACCCAAAGTCTTCAAGATAATAATATCTATAATATTAATAATTTGAAACATTATTTCATAAATGATCATTGATAAAAATACAGACAAAATATATACGTGAGCTTCTAATTTTAGTCAGTCTAATTATTTTTGATAGCAGGAAATGACCTCGCTGTATCATTAATATGTTCTATTGTAGTGACATTTACCTCACAAATCACATTAGTCCAGTAAATTGTCATTTTAGTTTTAAAACCAATCACAAAGTCAAACTGTAAGAACAGATGCAGGTAACGAGAAAAAGACATAAAGATTCCCCACCCTTCTAAATATAAATTCACCAAACAGAACTGTGATTGGACGGTTGATTGACAAAGTCTTTCCATCTGAAAAAAGAAAAAGCTCCTCTGCACCCCCCCATGGAACCGTTTGTGTTTCATTTTGAAGATAAATATAAAATGCTTTCAATCATTTCTCTAAATAATTGTAAAATAAAACCCGAGAAAAGTATAAACAATTAGGCCATTATGAATTTTTCATCATATCATTTTTGATTAATAATAATACATATAAAAATAAATAAATAAACTATAATAAAGAATAAATAAATATGGAAATAATACCGTGTCTGTGGGACAACACATAGCCGACCCAGTCTTCCTGCATGACACAAATCAAAACAAATAATTCCATTAACATATCATGTGCTGTTATCTGTTGTGTAGCACTCTGGCCCTCCCCTCTTGGATAATAAAGTATATCTTATCTTCTATAAATGTCACTCCACGCGTTTAAATTGGTTATTTAAAAATTGATGTGCTGTCATGAACATACTATTGAGTTTCAATTTTCCATGAAAGAGAAGTTACAAAAGTGTTTGTTTGCAGTCAACGATAGTTCTTAGGGGAAAGGTATAAATCGCCCCTCTAATAAGCAATATGTTATATTTCACTTTATTTATGCACATTTTGTCTTCCATACAAAAATCAAGCCAGTAATAAGTGAACTCAGATTTATGGAAGAGGGTTAGGGGATCCTAATGGCACAACCTTTTTTAGATCTGACCAGTTTTTAGTTTTATAATTAAAGTCATAATTATCAAGCAAAAAAGTAAGTCAACTTTTATTCAGAACTGAAACAAAAATGCACATGCAGCCCTAATCCTCCATTGTACAGATAGAATGTGTGAAAGTGTTAATAATAAAGTACTTAGAGTAGAATTTCTTTCATGTATAGATGTGTAAAACAAGAGAATGAGCCTCAGCGATGTACAATGATCACTGCACGAGGAAGCTCAGCTCTAGTCCATGAACACGAGAAGTTTCTGCTCATTATTCCAACTTTTTACTCTCTTTGAAAAGTGTCTTCCTGTTTGTGTAAAGCCAGGAGGACTGGGGTCAGATGACCACCCAGACAGAGGAGGCGCCTATTACAGAAGAGGACCTGGAGCTCATCAAGGATAGAGAAACCAACATCAGACAGCTGGAGGTCAGCCTCACATCCCATGAGCCCCCCCCATGGCTGCCTGCCTCTGCTTAGTCTACCTTCACGCCTGCCACAGCTGACTCCAGCCTCATGTCTGTGTGTTTGTGTGTTTCAGTCGGACATTTTGGATGTAAACCAGATCTTTAAGGACCTGGCAGTGATGATCCACGATCAGGGAGAGATGATTGGTGAGCGGCACTGAACACACCACCAGGGGACCATGCACATAAACACATCCGCTCCACTTATTTTCTATTAAACTCGCACACCACTGAAGTAAAACCATATGATTGCATATGAGAGCATATACAGTACCTTTTACCACACTGGCTGCTGTGGCAATACAGGGTTACAGGATAAAGAATCATTATGTCAGGCCATTTTTGTCACTAGAATTTGAAGGATATTAAGTGTGTATTTACTATACCAGAATATAAAGAGCAGACAAAGTGTTTCTCACTATTTCTCACAATGATGTAGACATGATACTGAGTAAATAGGAGAAAAAGCACAAGACTCAAAATAATGTGTGCTGTGTGTATTCATAATAATTTCAGAATACACAGAAATAATGTTTAGAGAAATAGAAAAAAGCTTCTCCAGTGAGGTTAAAGTCAGGTTGTTTCTCGTAGGCCGCAACATTAGATTAAGTTTAGGAAACTAAAACTACTGCAGCATTTATTCTCGACAGACATTTATCATTCGCTTCAACTAAATGTGTTATGCTTTCTCAGGATAATGGGAACAAAGGTGACCAATCATGTTGTTTTATTGGTGTCTCATCATTTAAATTATAATGATTCTTTAATTATTCTGGCAATGAGAGTAATTATTCAAACATTTTCGCCATGTGCTTTTTGTACGTCAACCGGCTGCTCTCACACAGCCAGCAGCTCCTTACAGCTTCAAACTGCGTAAATTCCCCAATATGCACATAGTAAAGTGGTTACTCCCTCACCTGAGAAAGTATTATAACTTAAAAGCAGTTTATTCAAAAGTAAATAAAGGTTGATTAAGCTGTTGTTGTTATGCAAAGTAATAGCACTTGTACCATCACAAAATAAGGCAATGTGGAAGCGCACTATCGCAAATCAGAGCACATCACCCCCATCCTTCACTCACTCCACTGGCTCCCTGTAACTCACCGGATCAACTACAAAGTCCTCAGAATGGTCTTCAACGCCATCAACCACACTGGCCCCACCTACCTACAGGAACTGCTAACCAGAAAACATTCACATACCTCACACACACTCAGGTCAGACAGCTCCAATCTCCTGGCTGTCCCGCAGACAAAACTGGTCACCATGGGAGACCGTGCTTTCTCCTCCCTGGGTCCACGTCTGTGGAATCAGCTTCCAGAGAACATACGGACCTCAGCATCACTCTCAGTTTTTAGGAAATGCCTCAAGACCCACCTGTTCCACACCGCATTTTACTGACTGTCCTTTACTTTATTTATTTTTAAACCTTCTATGCTCTTAACCTTTTATTTTTATTTTTATATTGCCGTATTTGATCCAATATGCTCCTTTAGATAACTTTTTACTTATTGTTCCTTATAGCCTTGTGAAGCACCTTGAGATGACGTTGTTTTTAAAGTGTGCTATATAAATCAAATGCATTATTATTATGATTATAGCAGGAATATAAGTTGAATAACAAACATTCCAAAAGAAAGGAAGGTTCAAGTAAAGACCTGAACTGTTAGTTTTCACCGTAAGAGCCCTCTGACTTCCTACCAGCTGACCTCGCTGTTTGTTCCGCTCGCAGATAGCATCGAGGCGAATGTGGAGAATGCTGAAGTTCATGTGGAGCGAGGAACAGAGCAGCTGCAGAGAGCCGCCTACTACCAGGTGAGTGTGCTGCCCCCTGTGCTGACCCTGAGGTGAGACCCTGCCCCTAACACTGTCTCTGCTTCTGATTCTACAGCAAAAGTCCCGGAAGAGGATGTGTATCATTGCCATGGTTTGCTCCATAGTGCTCGTCATACTTGCCATCATTATCTGGCAAGCTGCTAAGTGAGTTGATTCTGCACAACCGATGTGTCACTTCTGTGTTTTACTCTGCCCCTCCCACTTGCAAGTCCCTGCTCGGCATCATGAGAATAGGAAGAGGCTGAGAACATCACCGAGGATTAGGTCTGTGCAGATGGATGGTCCAAAGCATCTGAACTGATCACGCCTGTTTTTATAAAATGTTATAACGAAAAAACCTCCTATTTAAACTGACATAAAGGACTGAGGTGATGAAGGGGAGCGATCATTCATTTCTTATTTACTGCACTAACATTAGCTCTCACTGTATTTAAAAAAAAAAAAAAAAAAAAGTATCTTATTGTCAATGAAAGGAGAAAGGAAACACACAACTTGTTAAAGTGGATTCATGTGTTGTTTTAAGGGGTGTAACTTTGTTTCTTATGATGTAAAGTGTGTGAGTGCCTGGCATCCCCTGTAGCATTACACGGGACCTGTATGACTCCTGGTGGTGACGTCTGTAATATACATGTTGTAAAGCTCTAACAGATGACCAATATCAATCTAATCCATGTCTGTAAATACTACAAAGTGCTGCATTATATTCTGCTAAGTACACTATGGATCATAAATAATGACAGTATCTCAACAATGAAAGTCACGTCTTCAAACAACACATTTTTAGATTGATTTCGATGACTCTTGACAGTATGCATAATAAATGTCTTAAACACGTCTGGAGGTGTCATCAGTTGTGTGTCCACATGTAATCTCTGGGGTTCTTAAAGGTAAACTGCACTTTATTTACATTTTATTTTCCAGATTTTGTCCGTCATGTCAGTTTTGATATAGCAAAAAAAAGCTGAAAACAGTAGGATACTGCATGGCTGACAGACACATACACATCAATGCCCAGACACACTTTCAACTATATATCTGGCAGTGCAGGTAAACACACAAATCACAAAAAACTAAAAGACAGGAAGTAAAACCAGACATGACATCAGGAGAATGTTTGAATGAGAAAAAACATAAACAAGACCATGACAGGGAACTGTGTTGATTGGGTCGTGAACTAGTGTGTAATAGATGAAGTGGACTATGGTGGCACAGTGGAGCATTACCAGATCATCTTCATCTCTTAACCAACAGCAACATTAGGTACATATCACAATCAGACAGATGATCACAATAATAATCTGGGATTAATCACACATTTCAAATACTAGTTTTCACTTGTATATTGAAGATACAACAAATGTTTGTTGTTATGTATACAACTTGATAATGTGATTCAATTGTATATTTTTTCACACATGAACTAACAACAAATATGGTAAAAAAACAATGAGAAGTACATTTTTGAATATAATTATAATATTATCATTTTACTATAGTATATTAAGTAATGTTTTTCACTTCTCACAACAGGGAGGGGGGGGGGGCGTTCCTGGTTGATTTGTGTTCACAAGACCTAGCCATTGGAAGCAGGCCCAGCCACAATGTTGTAGAAAATCAACAATGTACAGCTCGGTATGTTCCTGTGACTTTGTCCAGATTGTAAAACTGAAAAGGTCAGCCTGGAGAATGTAAGAACATTAAAGAGAATTATTGTTGAAAAGTTCTACCTTTCAGTGATTAAAGATGTTTATTACACGGCTAAGTTGAATACTACATTCTGATCAGTTGTTAATTCTCGCTAACACACCGCTGCTAAGGAGAACAGACCATAAGGAGGATCAAGCGCCTGCAGTCATATCAATCTGCCCAAAGAAGTCCGCTCAATTTAACGTCAGCTAGGGACAAAAATTCATTTTTAATATATCAGGAAAGACCGTGCAATACTTAAAAACAAATTATTCATTTTCATATTTTTTCGAGAGCATGAAACTTTGGATTTATGATGGTTAACGGTAAAGAAAGTAAAGAAAAGGAAAAGAGAGCAAGAGAAAAAATAAAAAGGTCAAAACGCTGAGTGATGGTCTGCTGAAAATCAACAGAAGAAGACAGACAGGAAGTAAACACTAATGGGAACAGTAGAAGAAGACATACAGGAAGTAAACACTAAAGGGAACAGTAGAAGAAGACATACAGGAAGTAAACACTAATGGGAACAGTAGAAGAAGACATACAGGAAGTTAACACTGTCACTACCCGATCTGCCCACCTGTCCGATCTGTACTGCGCATGTGCGAGATGGTCCACCATATTGGGCAACTACATATGGCAACTCTACTAGGACACTTGACACAATGGCTTTTGGCAAAGCAGAAAAAGAAAACTCGAGAGAGATGAGTTATTGTTATTACAACGTGACTTCACTATTATTTAACAACTCTTTTTATTGGGTTCTTTTATTTGGGGTTAAGTACATTGTCAGAATAAGTGAGACATGGATTTAACTTCTGTTAGACAGCTATATGCCATACATTTTTGCATACATTCACAGTAAATATTTATTCAGTATGATAGCTGTCTAACAGTGTCACGATCTGTCTGTGTTGTGTTTTGTCTTGTCTTTTTCTGTCTTTGGTTTCCTGTTTTGTTTTGAAAAGTGTTCCCCCCCGTCTTGCCTGTTGCTTCCTGTCTCTGTGTTCCCTCCTGCCTGATTGCCCGATTGTGTTCACCTGGTGCCCCTGTGTTTTCTCCTCCCTCCTCACCTGTGTCTTGTTTGTGTGATTGGTCTTGTGTGTATTTTAGTTCTGGTTTTTCTGTCTGTCATTGTTGGTTCCTTGTTCGTATTTGACTGTGTGTCACAGGGTAGTGTTCTATTGTCTACTTTGTACCTTGGATTAAAGGAATATTCTTGGAAATCTGCATTTGGGTCCTGCCTGCTTCACTCAACCCTGACAAACAGAAGTTAAATCCATGTCTCACTTATTCTGACAATGTATTTAACCCCAAATAAAAGAACCCAATAAAAAGAGTTGTTAAATAATAGTGAAGTCACGTTGTAATAACAATAACTCATCTCTCTCGGTTTTTTGAGTTGTCTTTGTGTGCTTTGCCAAAAGCCACTGTGTCAAGTGTCCTAGTTGGGTTGCCGTACAGAGTTGTCCAATATGGCGGACCATCTCGCACATGCGCAGTACAGATCGGGCAGGGGGGCAGATCGGGTAGTGATAAACACTAAAGGGAACAGCAGAAGAAGACAGACAGGAAGTAAACACTAAAGGGAACAGCAGAAGAATACAGACAGGAAGGCCCAATTCCAAATCACACCCTACCCACTCCCACTCCGTGACGGCTTGACACTCGCAGCTCAACAAGGCTCCCTCCTGTCAGATGGAGGGTGTAAATACAGCGGCAAGCTTTGGGACGGCCTCCCCTCTCTCCGCCAGAAACAGGAAATGCCGTAACTGTATGTAACAACGGTTTCAAATCAGCATCTCTTAGACAAAAAATAAAATGAATAACTCAAATAAAACTCCAAACATCTTTAATTGTGTTACTTTTTTGTAAAGCTCTTTTAGTTTTAAACCTGATGTTTATAAGCTTCTTAGTTTTTGCAACAGTCTGTAAATATACACAACTTTATAATAAAATGCATAGGTATGACTAAACACAGGTATGATCCTAACCGGGACTGAGGTTACCACATGTAAAGCTAGTCACTGACAACGCCACCTCCTGCTAAGGGGCAGGAGGAACCCGTGGACCCTAAATGTAAGTGTATGTCGTGGACCGATTTGAAAGCTTCCCTTAATAGGTTCAATTATGACAGAGGCATGAATTCCAAAAATATAACGCAGCTTTATTTAACAAGTGTTGGAAACAGTTTAAAATGTCAATTCATGTAAAGTGTTAAAAAGGCAAATATAATTCAACATGTATATAGGTTACCCTCCTCAGTTGGGCAGGCCTGGTCCGCTGGGTTGCAGTGCCTGCTAATCGTGAGGGACAAAAACAAGAAAAGCCACACACCAAAACAACGAAAGCATGCAATATTCAAACCACAATCTCTATAAAATAATAACAGTGAGATATTTAGCAAACAGAAAATAAAGTGTCACACCATGCAGTCCCTACACTGAAGGCAGGCAGCTTTCCACCCGGGCCCAGGCCTACGCCACAAAGAATGGGAGAATTCCTTTAAAGACTCTCCCTCTCTTTGTTTTCGATCAAAAAACTGTTTTTGCAGGCTTACAAAGGAGGAGGAGGAACCATACAGCTCTTTCAGAATGGTTCAAATTGTATCAGGATTTTCCCTCTCCACCAAAGTACGAAATCTGATTTCAGTTTTTGCTTCCCCCTCCAAATGATCATAAAGAAAGAGGGCCTTCTCTCTGGCAGTCATGTGCCTGTCTCTCAAACATGACTGTAACTGTTCTATCCAATCATATATGGACATGTCAAGCTTAGAGTTAGAGCCTGGAAAGTAGGGACATTTTCTCTCTCTTTGTATGTACACAAAACGCTCAACTTGGGGTGTAGAAAAGTTGGGTGAGGCTACATTACCACTCGGAGGTAAACCACCTGCATTTGCACTGGTAGTAGCTGCATCTGAACTGGCACCTCTTTCTTGGAGTAGATGCTCATTAGCCACACGCAGTCTCTGTACCTCTTCACGCAGAGCCAACAGTTCCTCCACCTCTTGATCAACACTCATTTTTGTAGGTTGGTTAACAACTTTGCAAAAATGAGAAACAAGTGTTAGAAATAAATATACAATACAGTTAAACAGCAATGGAGTCACATTTGTTGTCAATGGCCTTTGGTTTCCATTACAGGCTCATCCATGTCCGAGGGCCTTCGTCCCGTTGTCCAGCTCATAAATAAACAAAACAAACCAAAGAAACCAAAAATACAGGAATTCATGCCTCTTTAAGTAATCCCACACTAAGTTAAAAAAATATGAGGTTATCATGAGGTTGTTAACATCGCAATTTATCAGTGAATGTTTGCAGGAACTACTTGTAAACAGCGTGTTTCCTGACGGACACACACAGCGCTGAGTCCGGTCAGGTAGGGCAGCACGTGAAGGCAGCACCGATGCAGACTCGCTGTTTGAGGGCTTGATAACCCACTCCCCCTCCACAATCGTTGGTTTGGAACAGCACTTAATGTGGCGGACCCTCCGCGCGAACGCACAAACGGAGGGGTAGGGTGCAGGGGTAGGGTGTAGGGGGTAGATTGGAATTGAGCCGAAGTTAACACTAACGGCCCGTGCACACGGCGGCGTGCGTTGAAGCTTGCCCGGCGGGGGGGTGGCTGAAACTCGACCAACAACCAATCACATGAATCTCCCGCCCCGGACACACAAGCACGCGGTTTGATTGGCTAGAGCTTGTACTGGCATATGATTCGATTGGCTGACGCTTCCGCCGAAGCTTCAAAAGTTGAACATTGCTCAATTTTTGCAGCGAGCAACGCTTCTGAAGCTACGCTTCGCTCCCACAATGCAGTTCGGCGAAACGTGACGTCACTCCATTCAAAGTGAATGGGCAGAAGCGTTGAAGCTTCAACGCACGCCGCCGTGTGGACGGGCCGTAAAGGAAACAGCAGAAGAAGACTGACAGGAATAAAACACTAAAGGGAACAGCAGAAGAAGACAGACAGGAAGTAAACACTATAGGGAACAGCAGAAGAAGACAGACAGGAAGTTAACACTAACAGGAACACGGTATGGGCTCTGGCAGTGTTTAAAGACTGGTTAATGGAAAAGAAAATGTGAATAGCCTTGGACAGTTACAGAAAACCTAGATCATTTTCAAATCAATATTGTGAGTCAAGTCG